TTTCCTCACCATCCCTCTTCCTATCGTCCTACTGCACCGTTATTGTTGGCCAACCAGACTGTGGGAAATGCAAAAGGAAATGACTTGGCCAACCAACCAACCGACTAGCATTCGATTCATAAATAATATTTGCATTGCAGCTAATCGAATTTTGATTGCAATTTTATGTGCCAGAGCTGCCGATACTAGTGCAGTTATTGTTGCTGTTTTGGTTCTTGTTGTTATTGTTTTGTGGCTGTTGTTGTTGTTGTTGTAGTTGTTGTCAGTATGTGGTTGGCTATAGCGTGCCTCAGTCATATGCGTTGGACAATTTTTATTGCAATTGTGATTGATATAGAATATTTCCGAAATTGGTTTTACAAGTACCTTGAAAGTGGCTTTCTATGTAGTGCCATTTAGATTGATATGCGCAATGTAGCCTATCTACTATAGCAGTATAGTTCTGCACTACAAGTATACATATTATATATGCTTGCACATGCCCGATCTTGTGACAGGTGTTTAATAAGCCATTATGCATAATGTGCAATTAATGTTGCATAACGGCACACAACAAAGGTCGCACCACAATTTCACACCCTCCTCACACACACACACACACACACACACACACACACACACACACACACACAAAAAAAAGAAATCATATTGCTAATAACCTGCCGGCTGTGGCTCACATCGTATATTGGTGGTATGACAGGCCCAGATCATAATACGTATAATGGGTGCAATCACAAGCACAGCGACCCCGGTCGGCACAATAATACAGATTTGGTTTCATAATAAAAAGGCAGCCGTTATGTCTTTGACACCACAACACTCTGCCATTTAATGCGAGCTCGTAAAATCAAAGCAAATCACTTGTTATCCCTGCCGTCGCGTCCCTGCCACCCTCCCGCCAACCTGCCGGCGCGCCCTTCCGCACATAATTTGGCGCTACTTAATTTCTGACTTCTGCTTTCATTTTTGGCACTACGTTGTCCACACACCCCCCGGCACACCACTGTGCGTGTAGCAGTTAGACCGGCAGACAGGCAGACAGACAGACAGACACACAGACAGATAGGCCTAAGGCTTTGTGGGTGCTAATGTTTGTGTGTCCTGCCGCAAGAAATTGCTTTTTCATGAACTTGACTCATTTATTATTTGCAACAGTTTCCTGCTTGTTTTGCTGTTGTTGTTGCTGCTGCTGGTGGTGTTGATTTTTGTGGTGGTTGCTTTTCTAGGCACTGCACCGCAACCGCAAAGAGCAGAGTGAAAATTAAAAGTCAAAACATGAAAATGCTTTTGTGTGAAACATATGGCCCAAATTTTTGGTTTTCATTTAGACTTGCTTGCTTCAGTTTTTGGGTATCACAAAAACAGAACAAAACAAAGACAACGACAACAGAAACTTTGAACAACAATTGTTGGCGTAAAGGAGAACGTTTTTCGAAATAATGTGTTTGAACTGTCAACTGCACTCTACGAACAGTGCTTTGCATGTTTTGTATTCTTCACTTGTAGGCCCAGAAATCTCGATGGAACTAGCAAAAAAACCTGTCAATTCTTCACTAAGGGATAAATAGCCTAGATTTGTAGATGGATTGAGTTTGAATTTTTATGTAATAATTTAAAGTTCTTTTCGCACTAGAGTTATTCGAATTTATCAATGATTTTACAATCGAGTCCAAAATCGACAAGAATTCCTAAATGTGTTTCAGCGGCCTATAAATTTGAAGTGTAGGAATGTTAAAATATATATATGATCGCTTCCTGAGTGTAGGGCATAAAAAGCAGTTCTAGAGCAGCTGAAAAGGTGAAAACTGTTTTTTTTTATAGATCTTAACTTTATAACATATTGGATGAGAAAATTGCTTGTATTATAAACTAATTTAACTGCTGTCAGCTGTTAATGTTCAAAAGTTGTCCTGATTATATAAAAATGACACAAAGATTAAAATTAAAACGGTCATGGAAACAGCACTGACAGGGGCAAGTTTTTTTTTGCTTTTATCATCTAATTTCCAGCCAACATTTGAATAATAATCGTCCAAAAAGTGGTTTAGGCAAGGGTATATAAATGTCGACGCGCTAGGAACCGCACCTTTCTACATTTCAGGCAATATAATAAATCAAAAAATCTGATTTGCTGTAATCGAAAGGCGGCCTTCTGGTTAATTTTCAGCTTTAACCATAACACTCAGCACTCATATAATTTATGCATAAGGGCGAGTTTCAAAAATTACAGTCGAAACGCTATTTAATGCGGCATAAGGAGCGTTCAAATGGGTGCATCTAGCAAGCCTCTGGGTAAAGGACGAACACTTTTCGTTGTCTGTCGGGCTGTCGGTTGTTGTGCAACAACCTCAAACACACCCTCGAACAATAAAGCACACACACTCATAGAAAAATATGCATACTTACATACACATACATATATGTACGAGTAGTATGTGCGGCATGGGCCGCGTGCATAAAAAATAAATGTTTTGTTTAACCGACATTTTAACGCCTATTTACGTGCGCGGCACGTCATGCACGTTATGCCAATTTAATGGTCGCTCCTGTGCTGGCGACGCGCCGTCAGGCAGGCAATGACTTTTGGCTTTTCACACGGCACGATTTTGTATTTACTCGTATTTATTTTTTTGGGCGCGCCGGCAAGGAGCGACTGGCACTAGGCTTATAAATAAATATAAATAAAAAACAAATGCAGACTATGCACATACGAACATATAAACATGCGAAAGTGCCAAGCAAAATAAAAAGAGAGCAAATTTAATTTGCAACACACACACACACACACGCACACGCACAGCAACACATATACGGCACGCACACACACACACACGTAGACGGCAAACCAGACACATCTTAAATTATTAAATTAAAAGCTAATGAATAGAGCGACGCATAAACACGTAAAAAACATAAACAAGTCAAGGTCGTTGTTGCTGCCATCGCCATCACCAGCGTCAGCGTCAGCGACAGCGACAGCTTTAACTTTTCCAACAACCCGCAACTTGCTCTCATATGCGCTGCTTTGGCCCTGTTCCCTGGTCCCTGGTCCCTGGTGTGACATTGCGCGGATATTTGGCTGCCGATCGACTTCAGCTGGTTGAATTCATAGTCCATGATTTTTGTGCGTTGCAGATACACGCACATAAAAGAATGGAGAGCTGTCTGCCGGCAGAGACCGACATATGACGAATTCTCTAGAGACCATCAGCGTTACACGTAAAGTTACTTTACACAAAAGCTGCAATTTTTCTTTGCTCCGCTCTTCGTTTGTCTCTCTGTTGATATTTCCTTTCCGCCATTAGTCTGGCTGTGGATGTGACTTTGGCTTTAGCTGCGCCTGTCGGGCACATCAGCCATGTCGACGATGTCGACAAAGTCAGAGTCGCGTTAAAGTGTTTTTAGCTTGACAGTTCAAGACTTGCTTTTGCTAAGTTGGCCATGGCTGCCTCAGCCTCAGCTCCAGCTCCAGCTGCTATAAATACTTGGATATGAAGCTACACATTTGGTTTATTTAGCCCGGCGGTATACGAGTAAAGCATGGTTAAGTTGTCAACTGGATTTGATATGGATGCGGCACTTTTATTATGCACGGCGACCAAAATCGTTTCCATGTCGCAAGTCAGTCATTCACGTGGTGACACGCTCCCTGTTGTTTTTTCCAACTTTCAAGAAAAGAGAAGTGAAACGATAATAAAAGATTTTAGAAATTGTAAATAAATAGCAACAGTATTATACTACTTGTATACATTTATCGCTTGGCTATTATAAAAGACTTTACTGGACTTGCTAATTAGACTCGATTACTTTTTATTTACTGATAAATATTGTAAATAAAATAATAATACCACCGAATAGTCTTAATATATATTTAATTGTGTACTCTGAACCTTTTGAAAGATTATGTAACAGACAGAAGCAAACATGACTCGTATTAAAGGTTCATATATGATCTGCATCGACATAGAGAAGTCCGTATATCCGTCCGTATTAACACCGACAACATCTAGGGGCACCAAACTAGGTACTTGTCTTGGGCTTGTATTTTACATCTGTAGAGCCATCTATAATACAAACCACATTTACTATACTATATGAAGCGTCAATTTTGTATATAGGTTTCGGTGGATAATTCCCTCTTCGTAGTTTAAATATTTTGCTTGAATGAATATAAGATATCTTTATGCAAGGTATTTATGAGTTTATGTTCTGAGGTACACAATATAATCTGAATTAAATTACAAAACATTACAATTGATTTGTAGTCAAAATTTGTCTGATATTATACTTGAGTTCGGATGGTGTATGCTTAGGGGAAAACGAGCTCAATTCTTGACAAAAACATGGTGTATTTTGACAAAGTCAGACGATGACTGTGGGCTTTTAATGCTGGAGGATGTTGCTGTCAAAACTTCAGAAATGTCTGCCCACTTGTAACACGTCAGTATCCACAACATTCCTTATGCATATGGAAATGCCAATTTGGAGCGCACACATCCGACATGGCCTGCGAAATTGGCCAAAGGGCAAGGCTCGATGAGCGTAAGAACAAAGGGCCTAATGGAGAATGGGCAGCATCGACATCTTGTAACATCGGCTTTTAGTGTCAGAGGGGGGTAGAGGAAAATTGGTCAGCACATAGATAGATATATTGGTATAAAGAATTTACATATGGAATTTATGCACATGTAAATGTGTCTGTGTGTGTGTGTGTGTGTGTGAGAGAGTGTGTGGGCTTGGGTTGGCGAGACAAGTTTCTGTTGCACTTGTTGTTGCTGTTTTGGTAGTCGCTTGTCGTTTGCGTATATGTTTTGACTGTCACGACGGTAATTGATCTCGATTAAGACCATGTACCCCTAACAAGAACAACAAGCCACGCACGCCCACACACGCAAACGCCTACACACGTACTCGAAGCAGACATTTTGTGTTCTGCTTTAAGATATTGGTGTTAGAAGTTCTTGTGTTGATGCTTAAATTTGTGCTTTAAATGATTGCAGGTTTGGTTCCAAAACCGTCGAGCCAAGTGGAAGAAGCGCAAGAAGACCACAAATGTGTTCCGCACTCCGGGCGCTCTCTTGCCCTCCCACGGACTACCGCCGTTTGGCGCCAATATAACCAACATTGCCATGGGCGATGGACTCTGTGGCACGGGAATGTTTGGTGGCGATCGCTGGAGCGTCGGCGTCAATCCCATGACAGCAGGTATGTGAGATGCAAATTTTGGAATTAGCTGTGTATCGTTGGTCTCAGACAGAAAGGATAAAACGGTCACTACATAATCGAAATCTTTAACAATTTATAAAAATACATATGAGCTGAGAGCTGTCCCTCTGATACCGACGATATGCATCCGATATACATATGTTAACTGCGCGCGAATGGAAACTAAGGAGCTCTTTCTCTCTATCTCTTTCTTGCTCTACTAACAATTGCCAAATTGACATCTGAGTAAAGGTTTTGGCCAACTAAATCAATCATCACCGCTTTCGTCCACGCTGAATAGCGGCCTGAACTCGGGCCTTAACATTGGTACCGCCATGGGTGCGGGCAGTTATCAGCATTACGGGCTAAATGCTTTGGGTAGGTTGCATTGTGTGATGCGTTTAGCTTAAAATCAAATTCGACTCCTACAGCATCACATGCCTGAAAATTTTCCATCTGCCAAAAAATGTTGACACTTTTTCATTTATTTGTTTACGCTTTGTTTACTGAAGTACGTGTTTTTTCTCCTTTTTTATACTTTTTGTGACGCCAATCCAGTTTTCTTGACAATTACCTAGACACGACAGCAAATGCGGTGTTTTCATTTCTTTGAACCTTTAACACTTTTTTTCGGTAGCGGATTTTCGAGGTTTATATGTATTTTGGCGTGTATACAAGTATATGTATGCATGCATGCATGTATTTTTAATCATAAAAAGCCGAAAGATTTATAACACTGACTCTTTGCATATTTGTTTGTTCAATTAACAACAAGTCGTTTAATTTTCAGGAATACCTAAGGCATTTTTATTCATTGTGCGACACGTCTTTTGCTCTCCAGTTTTATTTGATTTCGTATAGTTGTGCTAATTGATATTTTGGAGACATGTTTTTTTCTACCATTTGTTGGCTTCCATGTTTTCATTGTTACAGTTTCTTTATGTTGATGTTCTCGATGTTTTTGTTTGCATAAATCATCTACGGCTTGGTGTTATGTAAATGCGCGCCCAAAACTGATTGAATATTGTGTGTCTTTTTGTACTCATCTCCAGGCGACTCCATGATGTATCAGCATACTGTGGGCGTGAGTTGTGGCCCCAGCGGCTCGCCCAACACACGCAACACGCCGCCTAACATAAATTCTTGCTCATCGGTGACGCCACCGCTCTCCACGCAGCCAAATGCCAGCCAGAATGAGCTGAATGGCGAACAAATGGTAAGTTAACTCTGCAATAGAGTTGTTAAATAATTATATCGTTAGTTTGTGTATCCAGTTTTAAATTTAGGACAGACTTTGCTCTCAGGAACGTTAGTTTTCCGATTATATAAATTATTATTATAAGAAATAGAGAAGTTTACAAATCTTAACTAACTTCGATGGTATAGCGCTGGATGGAAGGCCTTGGGCTATGATTCTATAAATAAATACAAGTACCAATCTTTCAGTTGCATTTTGTCTCCTCAATTAAAATACTTGTACTGTTTTAGTTGTATTTTACTTTCAAATATATTAAATAACTTAGATCAGTAATATTTGAAAAGCCATTATTCGGAGTAAAGTGCAGGCAGCTTTTTAAGTTCACTCTAGAGACGGACTAGCGAAGACACAAACCAACGCGAAAAAGTATGCTTTTAACTATTCTTACATTTTTCACAGAATGCACAGCCACATCATCAGCAGCAACCACCGTCACAGCAGCAGCAACAGCAGCAGGCACAGCAAGCTCAGCATCAGCAGCAACAACAGCAGCAGACTCACCAACAGCAACAGCAAGGACATCACCAGCAGCAACAGCAATCAGCGCAGACACCAACCCAGCAGCAACAGCAACACCAACAGGACAATGCCAACACCAGTAATGCGCATCTGCTGCCACATTGCCACCAATCCATGCAGTCGCCCACTGAAGGAGCCAACGACGAGGACGTGTGGCGAGGTCACAGCATTGCGGCCTTGAGGCGGCGTGCCTCTGAATTGAATGCCACCGCCATACCGTCGTACTTGCACCACAACTCATACGAACATCACAATTCGGTCTACTGAAATTTGTTGAAGAGCTTTGAAAGCTTTTCGGATTACGGTTTTTCCAATTGTGGGAATCACGATTTCTAATAGACGCACAGTTTGAATAGCACTGTGCCCCCAGATAGCCAAAACAACAGTTTTGTTTAATTCGTACTCACGATTTTTTGTTGAAATCCTTTTACGTTCTTTTGCCTGACACGCATGAGCAGGGCAGTTTGTTTTAAGTTGAATGCTTGAAAAACAGAAGACTATAATGAATGTAAACAATGTATACGAAAACGAAACTTGCGAAAGATAACTATGTCTAACGGAAGACCCTTACGGATCTATTTTAGCGGTATAATTGACTAAAATAAAATTATGAGCATATACAACAATCTAATAAGTGTATAAAATTTAAGTATGCATAAGCAAATTAAACTGAAAATAACAAATATTCCGCTGTTCAATCTTAAATTTCGCATTAATAGCAACATTGCTAAGATATTGAGAGAACAAACTAATAGGAAAAGAGAAAAACAATTGCTGCACGAGTATACGAATATGAGAAGCGAACAAGTTGTATTAGGTGATTAAAAACTCAAAATATTTTACTTAACATTTAAATAGTTGCAAGTCTTGCATAATATATAGTTGAAAAACCCTCCCAAAAATGTGTAAAATTGAATTGAAATGAAATGAAAAGTGCGAAATTTGCAGCATAACAATAATTTTAAAAAAACATATTTACATACGAGTATGTATGTATGTGAAAAGCTATACAATGCTATATACTATATATTCAGTTTTTAACTGTAGAGCAGCGTAGCTAATTCGTAAGAATTGTACAATTAAGTGTTGTTGTTTTTGTGTATAGCCTTTGTTTAGTTTTTGCTATATCTATGCCTAATTAAGTAGTCCATTAAACAGCATGCAATAGTAAAAAAAAACAGAGAACCTTTCTTTATAAAATACATAAATACATACAAACATACGATAAATACATATGCAAAGTAGCAATAGAAAAATGTCCAGCTGTCTAGCATATGCAAGAATTTCAACAACCACAGATTCCATTTACAAAGATACAATACAATACAATACTACAAACATACTTCTCACATTTACATACATATATAAATACGTAAAAATTAATATGAAATATAAACATATACATATATACAAGTATATATATGTATATGTGTGTAATAGAGACTTTCTCGTAATGTTTAAGCCTAAATTTAGCAACAAATAAAATGTATGTAATTATGCGTATAATTAATTAAAGTGGTAAACTAAATGAAATATGAATTGAACGTGATTGAAATACAAATATATATATATATATAGTAAACAAATATATAACTGATTTAAATGAGCACTTCTGAAGAGCATGCCAGCCCTCAATACTAACCATGCCGCAGACCTCATCGTTGTGCAGTCAATTAGCTGCTAAGCTCTTGATAAAATGCAACTGAAGTTGCAAAAGCAATTACAGTAATTGCATGTGAGAAGCTTTTGGTAGCTAATAAAAACGACATCACGAATTTTGCAAAACAAGTTTAAGCTCAAATTGGCAAATTGATAAAAGTTTGACAGCGCCCATTTATGAATGTCGCCAGATACGAGGATGCTGGCTAAAAGCATACACAACTACTAAAATGGCCAAAGCATTGCCATTGACTGCCAATCTAGACCATTTGGGGTCAACAGCAGAAATAGCAGCAACAGCAACAGCAACAGCAACAGCATCTGCTGCAGCACATCAAAAGCAACATCAACATGGTTGTTGGTCATCGAATTGTGTTGGCTGCATAGCCGACTCTGCTGGCCTCTCACTTGGTTGATATGCATATAAGGCTTTATAAATTTTATAATACCTGCCATGCTGCATGACATTTGACACGAACATTGTCATGTCAATTGGTCAATGCAGCAGACAGTGACACACTCACACGAACTTTGGACTTCAGGCATTCGAGGATTCACGCACATTTCCAAACTGATGGGAATTTTATGTGAAACTCGTATTGACGCTGCATAAAGTATGACACACAATTCAATAACAGCAGTACATACACTTAAATGATAGGATTGGCAAATATAACCCAGAATCTTTGAAAGAGGTTACCCAAATACTGCCAATACTGCTAATAGCTTTTCGATTTCTTGTAGTTTTTTTCAAGCCAAGGATAATCCTTCACTGCACATACATTTTATTTAATTTTTAATGATTAATTTTTATTGTATTTATGAAACCTTTTTTATTGTGAAAGATATTTTCTAATCAAAAATATTAAAGTCCATGTGCTTACAATTTTTATTACATATTTCAGTATAGTAACCCATAGTTTTAATTTACAAAACACAAAAAAACGTTTTGGAATTACACTTTAATGTTGGAATTCTTTTTAGAAATACGATTCTTAATTTCAGGCAAACAATTTTGGATTGAACTAAAATGTAAATATAACACGAATTTGTTTGAGTGTTCACTCACACTATATATGTACACATACATATGTATATTTAATTTCAGGCGCATCTGTGCATATATGGATTTGGATGTGTGCAATCTATATCCGAATGTGAAATGTCGACAGAAAGTCTGGCGCACGCAGTATCACATGCTCGAATTCCAAAATGGACAGCTTGCCATCGCCATCGACATCGGCCTCCTCGATTACCTTGTCGGACACAAAACATTGCTCCTCGGGCGTGAGTTCGTTTTTGGTCATTGTTGTCAGGCAGGACATGAGGTCAGCGTGCCCAATGAAGCCATCTTGATCGAAATCTGTAAGGTTATGCAATGCGTTCGAAGAGCGTTAGCGTCATCATTGCTGACATTTTCTTCCCCAAAAGTCAAGTCATGTGTACAAAATGATGTTACCTAAGGTAACTTCATCGTCAGTAGGTGGATATGTGCCTGTGTATTTGTGTATGAGTGTGTATGTTCGATGTTGTTGTCAATGCACAATGCAATTTATGTCAATTGCAATCTAATAACTTGAGCTCGAGTACATGTGCGCTGCTCTGAATAGCGAACGGGCTCGACAAACAGCAAACAGAATAAAATTCGATGGAAAAAGCATCAATAAAACTAAACATTATACAATTCAACCTACTACTAAATTGCATTTAGTTATTCACGCTTCTAAACTCGGCCACCCAATGCTCACGTAAATAAAATTTAAAATCTAATTTAAACCCTTTTAGCAGCAATTTTACAATTACTCGTATAGTTTAAATCCCACAATGCTATGTAATTTATTGAATTGGATTGTTAAACAGTGTAAACAATTTTCTGTGATTCTGTCATATTTAAATGCGAACGAGTGGCAAATTTTTATATAATTCTATTTTATATTTTGCTTTTTTATCCAACCCCAGCGAATGCTTAACAACAAATTCAAATCCTCAATTTGATTTGGATTCGGTTAGTGATTTTAGTTATCGATGGCATGCCAGTTGTCTACCTTCAGATAATAAAGTTTTGAAGAAAAAGATGCAATTAAAGTGAGTGGGAAAATCATGAAATAAATGTTTCAGAAGAAACCAATATTATTATTACGACCAATATTTTTACATAATTCATAAATTGTTTACATTTCCTAAATTAGACCAACGATGGGCCGGAGAGAACAGGCGTTTTATAAGTTACAAGATTAACAAAAGGGTTATGAAGATGGATCTAAAAGATCGATCATGAAATGTTGAGGAAAAATGAGTGTCTACAAATGTTAAACCGAACTGTTTAAATTTTGGTTAAGTCTGGCTAAGATTTAAAGTATGATCAAGTCGAACTTGAAATAATTCGAATAACCATATTTAAGTCAAGTTCAACGGATTAATATATCCTTAACTGTCTCTCAGCTATGCTCCTTTCATAGCCCAATGAGTTAGCCTTTATTTAAAAAATTATAAAATCGAAATAAGAAAAAAACTGTTTCTTTTCTTTCAACATTTACATGTATAGTAAAGCTTCTCGCTTAATAGATATAAGAACTATATTCGTATAAATGTTGTATTTCTTTAACCAATATTGAGTGAGACGAACCGCATTAAATTTGTAAAAATGAAAATCGGCAGTTATGACACTTTCTGATATGATTTGTAAATACTGGAGAAAAATAACTTCTTCAAGCAAAATGAATAGACATTTCTTATGTGCGCTTTTGGAGTCATGCATTCCTTAAGGCTCATTAACAAACTAAGTTTAAGAAATTTAATTTTGTTTAACTCAAAGGTTGGTCCTTTCAATGCATATGTGATTTATTGTGGGTCGAGACAAATTCATTGGCCTCAATAGACAGGCGTGACGCTTTTTAAAAATTTGTAATTTAAATTTCAATTAAAACCCTTATTAGGATTTATTGCTCCGGCCTTGAACTTTGCCTGCAGCTTGGGGCGCCATTGTTGCTCGCGTCGCCGCAATTTACCGAGTACCAAGGTTGGGCAAAGGCAGGCAAATGCGTCCATGTAAATGCCAAAGACACGAGCGCCACACACATGCAGGCAGGGCGCGGAAATGCATAAACAAGACAGAGGGGTGGTAAACAACCATGGCGCCACACAGGCACAAAAATATAACGAGAACCACACAAACGAATATTCAACTTACCATAAATTTTGAAAGCGTAGAAAACTTTAATGTCTCTTGGCGCTTGCTCGCTGAATACGGACAGTGCGTCCAAAAAGTCCTCAAAGGATAAATTGCCCTGGCCATCGCGTGAAAAGGCCTCGCCTGAGCACATTGAGTGGTCGGGTGGTTCAAGTGGGCGTGGTCGGCAGCCGGGAGACGCAAATAAAGGATTTTTCACTTATGAGCATTGTTGCCTGTTTTTGGGCGGCGTTCTACTCACAAATGCGTCGTCGAAATGGATTCTCACGCCACTCCGGCATCTTTTCAATGCATTCGCATGGAACCTTGACACTTGAGGCTTGACCCTCGGTCATTTGGCGCGGAACCAAGTCTGGACGTAGCTCTCGAAAACGTTTATGCACGCTGCGAAAGAACAATATCAAAAACAACAACAACAACAATAGTGTCACACTGAGAAATTAATTTAATATTCTCGCCACTGTATTTATTTGTAACTTTTTACAAAATGTTGCTTGTGGGGCATAACTTGTTGCAACGCAGTTATTGTACATATTTATCGCAGGCCAATTTTAAGACAATAAATGCAGATTTTGGATAAGTTTAGTTTGTCAATTGGAAAAAGGAATAATGTTGGAACTACAAGATTTCTTTGTTAGTTCATTGGTATCGCATAAATTTGAGTTTTTCAAACCAAATTTAAATAAATTCATTTGTTTCACGTTCTCAAAATACAAGAAAAGTGTTACAATTACATTTGGAGTATAAAAACTCAATTTGTGAACCTTTTTTTTCCTGAGTGCAGCATCAACAATAGTTGGCCTACCCAGCTGAAATTTGTGAGTTTGCAGAGTTGATGGAAGGCATTGTGCTTGTGCCCCTTTACTAACCCACTCAGCCTTGCCCTTTCACGGCTCCTTTGTGCTGTGTGGCCAAACAAAGAACGAACACAAACAATGGCCTTCCAATGGGCTTTGTGATGTGCATTTGACATAGCCAAATGAAATGAAATAGTTCTGCTTATTATATTCTAATATAAATGGCTCGCCTGGTTAGGCATTTTATTGTGCGAGTATTTCTCCATTTTCTGCATACGTACCGCAAAATTTCCTTGCGTGTGAAGAACGTGCAGTCCTTTAACGTTAAAAATTTAATTTAATTTCGGGTCTCCAGGCTAGCTGCAGCTTCCTCACCTGATAGTCGTCGAGTTGTTGTTCGGTGAAAGTAACAACTTTGTTGCCCATTGCAGCTCCACGCACTTATTTTGCACTTCAATTGTTTATGTGTGCACGACCAAAACTCCGCAGCTGACTGCGAGAGACAATTTCTAACGAACTTACGAATGAGCGAACAGTGCGTGGCGATGGTCGCCACAAAACTGCCACAGGGCGAGCTTCAGCCCATCAGCATAACTTTGCATAAAAAACAGAGTCAGACACAGGAGCGACAGCGACAACGACATCGTTGACGTCGGCGGCGCCAGCGACCTACACACCCACATCCTGTCGCGTGCTCAGAACGTATGTTTGGTGTTGCACTCGAAGAAAAAAATTCGGTATGACTAGCTTGCAATCAGCCAAAAGCCTGACCTGTTTAACAATAGTTGGCGACTTTCGACACACGTGCCCGGAAAGTAGCAATGAAAAAAACGATTACCCAGTAGTCCCAGTAGGACTGTTTTTGCAGCAAAGATAAAGAGCAGAAAGTGGAGCTGGTTTGCTGTAAACAACTCACGATGTACGCTAAGCGACCTAGGCCAGTCATTCCTTTAAAGCCAATGATGTCTTTTAAACGCCATACATGATTGGAAGTTCTGTAAAGTTTACTAGTGTAATTAGTTTAAGTATAGCAATGCGACTATTTGTGCACCAAAGCCACAAAGAATGTTTTTCGAGTCGCTCGTTTATCTACCCAAAGATACATATTTAGTATACTTATAATAAGACTTACTCATACTTGTGCCAGCTTAATTTTTTAAAAATTACATAGAAAATACTAAAAACAAGCCGGACTTAATTCTATTCTTGCTTTCGCCATAAAGTAATTTGCCTCTTCCAACAAATTTTAAAACAGGTTTGAATGCAGCACAAACACCAATTAAATGATCACATTTTTCAGCAGTGACTAGTAGAGCCTTAACTATGTATTTTAATTAGAATTTGTTTATATAAATGGGTTTCTTACACAGAACTGAATTTTCTATGATTTCAAAACATGTTTCAGTGCAGCATGACTACCAATTTTCTTAAAAATATTAAATATATTACAAATATTATAAAATATTTCTTGAATTGTAAAAGTACGCCCTATATTATTATTTGTTCTCTCAGTGTGTGGTTTCTGCCACTATCGCATGGAAATTAATTAAGGAGTGTTCACCGCGTGCGTTGCCATTTTTTCATTTTTATTTTGCGCTTAACACGTTTTAGGGCCGCGCGACTTCGCTGTTCTGCGGCTTGTTTGACGCCGCTTGCTCTTTTTGCCGTCAAGTTGCGGCAAAATTGTTTTAGAGGTGCGACCAGTAGCAACAAGATATACAACAAATGCAAGTGAAAAAAACATAGCACAGTTTTCTGCGCAAAACACTCACTGCTTGTTTTTGGACTTTTTCTCCTTTTTTGCAAACTTTATTAATTAATTTAATGCTTGGTCGCATTTTTCAATCTCACGCGTTTGCTGTATAAATTTATGAAAGTGGCTATCAGGCTTTGGATCGAGATCCAATACGCTGACTTTGGCTATAAAGTGACGCTGAAAGTTGGCCAAATGCACATGCCACGGCTCCAAACGTTCAAGTTCCTTAGCACTGAAAGAGCGTAAAAAGAGTAGAAATTGATTAGCTCTTGCAGAGTGTGTTTGTTCATATGATTGATCGGCTCAATAGGTCTGAAAGGTGTGTCCATTACCGTTCTTTTAAATAAATTTCTCTATGCGAATCAATAAGTTACTCTGTCAAATATATTTAACAGTTCTGAACATCTAATTGAATTAAGCCCGAACGTATTAGAAGGACCTACGCATATATTCGTACATATGTAAGTAATATGATCATTTCAATATGGTTGTAGCTATAAGTAATTCGGTTTAGTTAGTACTTCATGAATTTGCCTATTTCCGTGAAGTCTAGACTTAAGTAAATTAAATACTGAATTGTTTTAATTTGAATTTTTAGGCATTGTTTTGCAACATTAAATCCTTATTTTGGGATTGTTTCTTTCTCTTCTTTTCAGCGTAGTGCAGTGAGATTGACAATATTTCACACCATTCGGTGCATTGTCGTACGAGTACAGTAGACCTACCTGACATTTTGGCATTGTATTTCCCGAAATGTCAACATTATCGAGCAGTCCAGCGCTGTGGCACCCAGCATATAAGCCTGTTCCGCTTCTAGTCCATCGATGTAGCCAATCCCTTGTACCTGCGTCTGTTCCTTTTCCCGGGCGAGGAGTGTGCGGAGGGCATTGTAGGTGGTCGTCACTTGTGTGGCGTACCCCGCCTCGGCCATGTAACGAAAATGCCGCTGTAATTGCAGCGTTAAATGGCAAAGTCAGTCACCCGGTCAGGAAGCGAGTAAAGAAAAAAGAGAGGTCTTTGGGAACTTACACACCCTCCACTGCCTGCTAAATCGACACAAAAACCGAATTACACTTGGCTGTCCACACGGCCACGAGGGCCTCGGGCTATAGCCAGCAGATTTCTCACTTGGCTGGCGTCCAAGTGAGCGTCGCTTTGGCAAATCCCAGTGACCAGTGGCCGATGCTCACTTAGCTGCCTTTTCAATTTCACTTTTTGTACGCCTTGCAATGGACTTGAAGCATTGTTGAAACATCACCTATAGCTATAGTTTTTGCTGTGCTTTCCCCACCTGTCTAGCTGTCTGACATTCCTTGGGCAGGCAGAAATTAAGAAATTAGCTGTCAAGATGGACGCAAGAACGAGGAAGAGCTGATTAAGAACTAGAACTAGGCTCTACCTAAGATATAAATAGTTTTCTATGAACTACAATATGAAGCTTCTACAATTTGTTTGTGAAAATATTGTAGTTCTGGATGGATGGATGGTATTGATGAGCGAGTTAGGAGTTGATTAACAGCTAAATGTGATATATCAGTGTACTTTTTTCCAACACTCTTTGACACTTCAAATGGGCAAACAAAAGTTGCATTTATTGTATTATGCTGCTGTTTTATTGGAGGGGTTTATAACAGTACATATAGCTATAGTTTTGGAAAAATGTGCTAAAAAAGTGTGTTTAATTGCCTGTCCCTTATTGCATCAATGCTGTAAAAATAAAAGACTGATAGTTGGCTGCTTACCTTCACCAAGAATTGCAAATGTAAAATTTTTTGCAGGACACAATTTTTTGGTAAGCACGATATTTCCGTTGTGTTGATTTGTGCTTGAGTCGCCAGTGGTTCCGTTTCCGTTTTTGTTTCCGCTTTCGTTTCAGTGGCCATTGCCACATTCGCTGTCGTTGTAGTTGTCGTTCTCGTTGACTTTGCGCACGTGCTTGGCTCAATTGTTGTGCTTTCCCAGGTCGATGTTGCTGTTGCCATTGTTGCTTCTACAGATTCTGTTGTTGTTTGCCTTGCCGTTCTTGTTGCAGTTGTTGTTTTAGTTACTTTGCCACGTTTTGTATACCTTTGCGTCTCTTTTGCAGCAGCTGCTCTCGTTGCTGTTGTTGTTGTTGCTGCTGCTACGGCTGCTACTACTGCTGCATTCAAGCGTTGCGGTTGACCAGCGGCAGCTTTAACAATGTCATCTACAGCTCCCGCACTAGCATCTACAGTCGCTTTCACATTAGGTGCGCCAATTTCCACAGCTTGAGCCTCAGCCTCAGTCTCAGTCTCAGCTTCGGCTTCCGCTTTTGTCTTTTCATCTGCTGCTGACTCTGCCTCTACTTCTGTCGACTGCGCTGCCTTTGGATCCACGTACAGCTCTGCAGCTACGTGGCCGTCCTGGCTATATTCCCTGAGCAGGCAGGCGACCAACAAATGTTTTATAAGCACCATAATTTCACTGGAGAATTTCAGTGATTTTATGGCGAGTTTTCGAATATTTCGTTTGTTAGCATTTACAATGCACATTCCGAGTGTTTGGTGTTATTGTTGTTGGCGTTGTTGTTGTTGTTTTTGTTGGTTGCGTTGTTGTCAACGATGTTGCGAATGGTTTTGTGTGTATTTCCAAAGGTGTTGAGCAAAAATAACAACAAAAAAAGTAAAATGAAAATGTTAACGTTCGCCACGAGAGATTTTCGAATGGTCCGTTGTTTGCATTATTTATTGAATATTTGCGTGCACAGAAAATTGGTTACAGTTGGCTGCACCACTCGCTTTTCTCTCCCATTCCCTTCCTCACTGTATTTGAAATAACATTTTCCTGTACGAAAATTTATGCATGCTGCTGCCGCAAAGGGTATCGGTACCGAACCGGTGTAAGTTTACGAGCGTGTCAGTAAAGTAATTAAGTTGTAAAAAAGCAGGTGAAATGACTTTAAAGCTTAGCAACTATAGCTTATTAATGTTAAGTCTGAATTGAAAACGATCAGAGAAATTTCACTAAATTTGTAGTTCGAGAGATTGCAAAGAGTTACTAGAATTTCGGATGCTTCTTCAATCGAACTAACTACATATTGTAGAACTAATATTTAGTATGAAAAACTTGTATTTTGTAAGTATAACAAATATAATATAATATATTAGTTAGAAATTATAGTAAGATTTAATATTTGCACACGTCGTTCCTATGGCAGCTATATAAAAAAGAGGCAATGATACGTATGGAATGTCTGGTAAGGGATTCAGGCGGAATGACCCTGGACTAATGCACAGATGCACATACCTATATCGATACGTTGCATCTATTACGTGGGGCTTGCCAGGCCCCCTTCTCCGGTTATACATAGTCGAAGCCTTTACTTACTTTACCTTTCACCTTTCGGGTAGGAGGTATAAAAAAAACACTAAGCTTACCCTTGAAAAACTCGACTATGAAGCTCCTCGCAGGAAATCGAATTTTCATGATCGCCATAAATTAAATTGCCGTTGCGGAATACACGTAAATTATTTTGCGGACAGGCAAAAAGTGCACTCAAGGCATCAAGCATACGACCGGGTGCACTAAAATAAATAAGAAATAAAGAAGAAAAAACTGAAACTTTTACATATGTATGTGTATATATGAAAACAGTTTTGTAACAATATTTTGGTAACGCAAAGGCCGATAATATAAAAAGCTACATGTATAGAATATGCAACGTTGTATATATAGAATGAAATGAAAAGAGTGCCAGGCGGCAAGCCGGAATGAAAGCGCAAGCAAATTGAATTTCGTGCACGGATGCACGCATGACTTAAAACAGCGGGCCACAAATAAACGAATGAACGACGCCGGACACGGGCACGGACATGGACACGGCAGGGAGAGAGCCGGGTCCAAAATATAATAAAAGCTGGCAAGGAAACAGAAACAGAGTAAAAATGGCAGGCGCGGCCGCACAAGTGCACCGCACACTCACACATACACAGACACACACATTACGACGCATACATGTAGCATAGGTAGGACAGGCCACAAGCCCGAAAGTGTTGGAATTATGAAGCACGACAGGACACGCAAATGGAGCAGATTGAAATTTATGACTTAAAGGCGTGCTCAGAAACAGGACCACGGGATACACATATGAAGAGAAAAAGCCCAGCACATAAAAGTTTATTATTTTGTGACGCAAAGCCCGAAAACTTGTTGAGTTTCTGCCACTACTTAGCATTTAGAATGTGCCAAGAGCCAAAGACTTACCCGGAAAACAGCTCCATAGGGCAATAGGCGCTCAATCGCTTGATTTTCCCATTCTTCAGCTACTTAAAAAGAGAAATAGAGAATAAAAGTGTTATGCAAACCAAAAATAAAGAACAAAAGTACAGTCGAACGTGAAGATCCGAAAAAATATAACCACAATAAACTACAATGTCATACAAATGACTACTCAGAGAGAGAGAGAGAGAGAGTTTATATCTAGAGTTTGTTATCATACCATTTTATTAATAATGGTCAAATACTATATTGAGGTTCGTTGTTTGGACTACTTAGTTTAATTTCTGTTTTAAAAAATCTACTACTTTTAATGATGTTCTCTAGTTTTATCTGGATTTCAAATACTTGTTTCGGACAGGAGTGATTTTGATTCATTGATTGTTGTGTAAAATGAAATAGCGGAAATATACTGTTTTAGGATTACTTATCTTTCTTGACTAGACTGAAAAATTACCTTCGTCTATTTTCGCCAGAGGTCTAAAGGTCCTAATTTAATCAGTTTTTAAATAGCAGTTTAAAGTTCATTATTATTTATTTAGGGTGTTAGATCTATAACGTCTATAGTCACTTTTGGCTGTGAATTGGAACGTTTCGGAGGCGTTAAAAGACATTATTATACATTTATTTTAGAGGCTTTCATATCCATTAAATTAATGGTTTAACGTACTTATTTAGCGAAAACTGTATAGATTGAACAAATTGTCAAAGTTTTGGAGGTGATAAGTTCAATTGCAAATAACACGCAAGTAGTATCTATCTTTATAAACCAATTGAGTTCCAAAATGGTTACAATCAATTCGTCTAGTGGCTTTTTGTAAGTGACGAAAATACCTCAATAAGGGGATACGTTTTAAATGGAGCTCGACTGCAACTATTAAATGACATGGACACGACTAAAGGTATTCAGCAGAGCTCTGGACACCTTCCCAGACTCACCTTCAGTAGTTGCATGCTGCAGAAGCGACACATACAGTCTGGTTTTGTTAACTTGGCTGCCGTTGCAATTGGCAACGATTGTTCAGTGGCAGCAACATTGCTTGTCGAAATGACCGTTGTTGTTGCAGTGCTTCCTGTAGCCTGCTGGCGACCCACTGCTGGAGTGGGCATTACTGTTGCTGCTGTCGCGCCTGCTGGCGTTAAATCAAATAAATCGCTGACATCACTTGGCAACAGCATCCAACCTTGTTTTGGTTTTATTTCGATGGCATATGTATCTCCCAGAATCGTTGTTGTTGTTGTTCCCATGTCCACGCTCGTGTCCGTATCCGTGCTCGTGCCCTTTGCCTGCAAATTATTTCGTTTGGCTTATTCCTTCAATTCCTGCTTTCTTCTTCTTTTTTTTTATAGTTTTCATTGCCCCGGCACAAAAGGTGAAATAACCTGCAGTGTAACTTAAAAAAAAAAAAACAGAAAACAAAACGAAAATGGCTGCACACAAATGCAAGAAAAACGAAGCAGCGTGAAATATTATGCCGTCAGCAGGACAGCCGGGCCACGGCAGCACGACAGACGGAGTCGCTCTTAGAGATACACTGCTGGGGTTGTGCTTTTCGTTGTTGGTATTCCGACTTGAAAATACCATTAGAATAAGAGATACGGGATATATGGGAATATAATTTGAACTTTGTTGTCCTTTCTATATAAGTAGTACTATGTTGCTCTCAAGTCATTAGAGTAAAATATTATCTGGCACCGAGGATATTATAAAACTGATTTAGCGAATAATAATAATAATCATTTATACAACACATTTAAAAGACTGAAAATAAGGGATTATTTGGGGAAGTTTGGGCATAAGTTTTTCATTTTAGGCGTCGCTTGAATTTCTGTACATTTTCTTACTCATACACGTACTCGTATGCACTTTAACTTTAACGGACTGAAGTTATGACCATGGCCAATATAACACGTACTATAACAAGCTTCATCAGAAGTTAGGGTATAATGAACATTCCCGAAAGAGACAGCCATTTTGCATGAAGTTATCATCGTCGAGTGCCTGAACATGAACACCAAAAATAACTCGCATTGCATTTGCAGGTCCAGGTATTCTTAATTGTTGTTACTGTAGTTGCTGCAGTGACATGAAAAAATAACAATTTTTTCTGTTGTCGCCGATTGCATGATGAGTTATGTTGGGTTATAGAGACCTCTGGAAAGAGCGCAGTGCAGAGGTGACGAGTAAGAATGGAAAATGAACATTTGAAGATGCTGCGGCAGCAAGGCCCAATTATAGGCCGACGGTAAACCGTTGGCCATTCGCCTGAGAGGTGTAAGTTATGGTACAATTTCATTTCGTTCCATGTTTGGATATAAATTCAATATGACGAAAGGGAAAACAAAAAGCGAAATTTGGTTGAAAAAATGGGAACAAAAAACTATCGCCAGCAGCACTTTCAAAGCAATTTCGACGTCTTTTATAACCGCACTAACTGAGGGGGGCAGCAACGTCCGGGGTAGCAGCTACACGGCAACAAAGTGTTTACACTGTTGCCCACTTTAATTCAAAACAAAGAACCGTTGATTTATGTAGCTTGCCATTGGCGCGGACCCTGGGTCTAGCCGCGGAGGGCGAAGAGGGGTGGTACAAGCTAAACCGCAACGGAAGCGCGCATATGGCAAAAATACCAATATTGTCCTTGTACAAAATGCACAATTTATTTGGGCAGGGCATAGCACGAATATCCCGAATAGAGTGGAAGGCAGCGCATCCATCCTACTCCTGCTAGTGCAAGCTTGCTCGCCTGCTGACTGGCTGACCAGCAACTCACCTGTAAGTTGGCGAGCAGCGTATCGAACATGGGCGGCAACTGGGTCACATCTGGCATCAGCAGACCGAATGGCCCCACAAATTCCTTATCCAGACGCGCAACTGCATGTGATAGAAAGAAAGCGATGAGCGTGAATAGTGGCGATAAATCGAAAGAAAGTTATGTTAACAAGACATTACTGTTTTTTTGAAATTGAAAACCAAAATCAATAAAATCCGTCGGCCTATTATACTTAATATATCTGAGACATGTAAGTAATGCTTGATAAAACTCTGATCATAACATGGTAAATTTTATTAGAAATTGGATTTATTGAATTACAGACTCCCATGTTTTCCTATACGACTTTTGAAATATTTATAGCCATGATCTTATATATTTACTTATATACGAGCATTTGTTAATTTTCCAGAATTATATGTTGCATATTTTCGATATGTTTTGATGCGTTTGCCACATTGTATTTCTTTTTACACCTCTAGCTTGAATGTAAAATTGCAGCCATCCGTTAGATTGCGATTATTGATATATAGACGACCGGGTTAGCGGCATAGTGCCAGATAAAATGATAAATTGTGGCCAGGCGAAGCGCGCAGCCTGTTGCTAGAGCGTCCCATAAACCGAATTTTGATATATGGCCGCGACTATTGCAAGTCCAAGCTCGGCAGCTCTGGCACTAATCAGTCCCATGTGTACGAAACTTGCAAAATAACCGGACGTAGGACTCCGGACTAGTTTGTGGCCTCAGCCAGAGCAAGGACTGCATCGCTGGCAATGGCCGCTCATGTGTAACGTTCATCGTAAATGTCCGAGCCAAAGGGCCGCAGTAAAAAGCTCGTTTATGATTGATTGCAGTTGCTTTCAAAGGCATTGGACGGCGGCCAAGTCACCAGAAGCACTAAAGGCCAAGAACTGAGATGAAGGAGTCAGAGACGAATGCAAGGCAAAGGCTCTGATCAAATAAAAATGTAGCTTCAAAAAAAGAAGATTGCACAATTTCTTGCACAGGGCAGGCACAATGGCAACGCATACATACATCTCTATACACACATGTACGTGTGTGTACATACTTGGCCTGGCGTTGCGTATGTGGTCGTTTATCCAAAATCTATCGCTTTCCTTTGGTATGGCAACAATATCCGCTTCGCAGACAAACTCATTTCCTAATAGACGGCGCATTATCTCGATATAAGCCATAAAATCCGGCATTGTCAAGTCGCCAGCTAGAAAGAAGCAAACAAGAAATAAGATAAATGAAATAAACACATTTGATGCAATGGCAGTGGCATACGAGGATACAAAGGAGCCGAGGGAGTAAAAGCCAGCGAAGCAGGCAAAACCCAAAGCCAAAGCACAATACACAAATTGCCTGGCTACATAGGGTATGTACTTATGTACATATCTATACATATGTACATATGTGTGTTTCTTTGGGCGTTGGGTGTTTGAAGTTGCACGCAACCATTTCCTGCCGCCGCTACCCAAAAAAGAGAAAAAATGATTATACGGACAAACTAACCAACCTTTTTCTCTTGATGTTTTAGTTTTCATGGAAACATGGGGCGGACTTCGCTCTTGTTGCTGTTGCTTTGCTTCCGGCTGCGCCTGCGGACGAATACTTCGCTGTTGTTGTAGCGCCTGTCTGCTGGATATCATTTTTGGCAAACGCAAAACTTTTTTAAATTGCGGCAATGCCAGCACCAAATTTGCATTACCCTCCGCCCGGTAGATCAGCTCGATTTGGCTCAGCTCCATATGCGCGGGCAAGTGCAGCAGCGTGTTTATGGTCTTTGCTGCAGCAACTTCAGCTTCTCTAGATGCAGTCCCTGTCATGACTTATGTGGGGCTTGTGGTTCAGTGGCGTGAGTCACAATTTCACTGACACGGACGTTTGTCTGCGGCCCGCGTTGATGACTGCCGATTGTGGTTCTTTGTTGTTGTTGTTGATGCAGTTGGCGCGACAATTGACTGGCTTTCTCTTCTCCTTGCGACACCTGCTTGCCTGCTTATCGAAGTTGATAGCTAACAAACATCCTTGATCAAAATAGTTAGGCTTTCCTACTTAATTTAGCAAACAAGTTTTGTTTTATGGACAAAAACAAAGCACAACTACTTTGCCAGAAACAGTAATCAGCTGTGCGTGTGGTAGATCGTTTTAGTGTGTACACATGCAGTGGAAAAACACAAATACCGCAATCTAGTATTTTTCAACGTAGTGGCAAAGTGAAACCGAATAATAAATAAACCCGCGACATTTTCGATAAAAACAAAAACTTTTTTTGTATTCTTTTTTAATATTTTTCATAGTATCTTCATAGTATTAACGTAGTATTTAACGATCAGTAGGTCCTTAGTTTTTACGAATATATTGTCCATTTTCAGTCTGTACCAATGTGTGGCCTGGAGTCTTAATGACTTGAGTTCCTGTAAAATAAAACAAATGCATTATAAATATTAAAGCCTATTAGTATTTTTTTTTATTTTTTTGTATTACGTACCTCCCTCAGCACTGGTCACAGCCACAATCAGGGCAAAGACAAATGCACAGATTTTTACGAACTGCATGTTTATGTGTTGCTGGATACTCGTTTAATGAACAGTCGAAGCGCTCGACTCTGCCTTTATACCTATACGAGCAGAGCATTTGGGAAATCCAGGGCCTATAAACATATAAGTATAATCTACGCAGTATTTCAATATACATACATACTTACATATGTATATAAATAAACACAGTGCTGAGGTCGAACTCGTCTACTCTCATGTAGTCAGATAACGCTAATTAATGAATATTAAGACAGGCTTTGCGTATGCATTTTCTAAGTACTATATGGAAGTATTGGGGTGTACATATTTGTATAGATATGTATACAAACTACAGTGAAATTCCCACAAGCTGGACACCCATCGTAGCACTTTTTTGTAAGGCTTTGGGAGATGCCCGCTAACGGTAAAGGAACAAAATATTTATTTGAAATGCTTTGTTGAAACCACCCAAAAGGCAGAAATTAAAAAGGTATATTAGGTTTGTGCAAAGTATGTAACATGCAGAACGAAGAATCTCCGACCTTATAAAGTATATATATTCTGAATCAACATGACGAGAGAAATCGATCTAGATATGTCCGTCCGTCCGTCCGTCTGGATGAACGCAAGGATCTCAGAAACAATGAAAGCTGGAATAACCAAAGTTGGCATCCAGATTCTCCTAGGTCCGAGAAAATGTTGAAAATCAATACAAACATAAGTACCAATGCACGCATGTTAATATAAGCAGATAATAATCTTATGTTATCTACAAGTTATCTGTCACTGTTGCATACGAATGTAAGCATAAAGAATATGTATAGCAAAAGTGTCAGTCTCCAATAAAACTCTAAAGCGAACAGACGCACGGCGGTCCGCGACTATTGTCTTTTACTTTACTCCTACTGAGCCCTTCCCTTTTCAGCGAATATATAATCTATTCAATAGGTTATGGGCCCAGGGCATATAGGCTCATAGGAGAAGTTCAAAGTATTGTGAAATAGTAATCGTTTGGTGACTCAAGAAATATAACATTTAAAAAATGAGTGCGCTATATCAAATAGACAAATTGGAAGAGCATAACTATGACTCATGGAGCATACAGATGCGATCTGTCTTAGTGCACGCGGAATTGTGGAGTGTGGCATCAGGTGCTGAACCTAGTAATACTGAGAGTTCAAGGCCAAAAGATGAAAAGGCATTAGCAATTATAACGCTAAGTGTAAAAGCTTCACAATTGGGCTTCATTAAAAATTGCAACACTTCGTACGAGGCATGGAAAAAGTTAAAGGACGTTCATCAGCCGAGTGGACCTGTACGGAAAGTGTCGCTGTACAAGAAATTGCTAGGCAAACGCATGTTTCAAGGCCAAAGCATTTCAAGTTACATACACGAATTTAACGAAATTCTGGATGGTTTGTGTACAGTTGGCATCGAATTAAATGATGAGTTAAAAACAATCGTGTTGTTGTCAAGCTTGCCCGAACCATACGAAAATTTTGTCGTCGCCATTGAGACGCGTGACAATTTACCGTCATTTGATGTGTTATGTATCAAGCTGATGGAAGAGGGAGAGCGCAGAGGCAATGCAGATGGAGAGAGCGAGAATGCAAGAGCATTTATAGCTACGCAGCAGATCGTCGCGCATTCCAAAGCGAATTCAAAAAGGAATTCAAAAATCGTCGTTTGCTACAACTGCGGCGAAAAAGGGCACTACAAGGCACAGTGCAAGCGTGAGAAAATTCGCGGTGAAGGGAAAAAGCAATCGACAAAGAAAGAGATGGAAAAGCAGAGCAGCTTGTTAAATGCGTTGGACGTTGGAAAGATAGAGAACAACATGTGGTGTCTGGACAGCGGAGCAACAAGCCATATGTGTTGCGATAAGACGTTATTTTCAAAATTTATTGCGCACACTGAAATGATCGGTTTAGCTGACGCTGGTTTCCTGAAGGCCGAAGGCAGAGGAGAGGTGAAGTTACAGACAGAACTTTGTACCTTGGTGTTGTCAGATGTACTGTATGTACCGAAAATGAATGGCAACTTTATGTCCGTCAGCCGGTCAGTGCAAAAGAACAATGTTATACATTTTGGGCCACATTTTGCTAAAGTTATACAAAACGGCGAGTGTATACTGAAAGCGAATAAAGTTGGGAACCTTTATATGTTTCAAGGCAAACAAAATAGGTGTTATTCCGCAACTGAATCAGATGGTACATTGTGGCATAAGCGTTATGGCCATTTAAATTTTACCAGTCTGAAGGAAGTGATCAGCAAAGAGCTAGTGCGTGGTATTGGAAAGGTTGTTTTCCCAGACAACTTGAATTGCAAAACGTGTATGCTAAGCAAAATACATGTACAGCCATTCCCAAAGGTAAGCACTAACCGTGCCGAAGAGCTGTTGGAACTGGTTCATGCTGATGTATGCGGCCCATTCGACACGAAGTCACTTGCTGGATCCAAATACTTTCTGACCTTCATCGATGACAAGTCCAGGCGTATATTTGTTTATTTTTTGCGGAAGAAAGATGAAGTGTTCAGTAAGTTCGTCGAATTTAAAAACTTGGTTGAACGGCAAACAGATAAAAAGCTCAAATGTATTCGAACCGACAATGGAGGCGAGTTTGTCAACACAACATTCAACGGTTTCCTGAAACACCATGGTATTGCAAGGCAATTGACCGTGGCTTATACTCCGCAGCAGAACGGCGTGGCGGAAAGAGCAAACCGGACATTAACGGAGATGTCCAGATGCTTATTGGTGCAGTCGGGCCTAGGCGAGTCTTTGTGGGCCGAAGCAGTCAACACAGCAGTATACATAAGAAACAGATCACCTACCAGTGCACTGAACAACCTGACTCCAATGGAAGCGTGGACAGGTAAGAAACCCTGTGTTAGCCATCTAAAAGTTTTTGGTTCCATTGCAGTTGCACTTGCAAAGGGTCCCCGTAAAGGCAAATTCAAACCCAAAGGGCATGAGTACCGTATGGTTGGGTATTCGGTAGCAGCCAAAGGCTATCGGTTATACGACCCAGAGACGAGGACGATTGTCGAAAAACGAGACATTCTATTTGATGAGCGTTGTGGTGGTCATACCAATGAAGATACCGTTACGGTAGATTTTCCTGCATGCGAGGTTCAAGAGCATGTCACTCACACGGATGGTGACAGAAGCATCGACGACGATGACAGTGAGCACAGTTCTGACGACAGCAGCTCCAACGCATATGAGAGTGCAGTCGAAAAAGAAGACTCTGACGAGGATACTGTGAAGATTGGGCCAGGCCGGCCTAAAATTGTTCGAAATGGTAAACCTGGTCGTCCAAGAAAGCAATACAATGTGCTTGGAGCATTGGTTGCTAGTGACGTAATGGTTCCGACATCCTATGATCAGGCCGTTGGTAGCACACATGCAGTATTCTGGCAAGAGGCGATGCAAAAGGAATATCAGGCACTACAATCAAACGAAACCTGGCAGATGGCTGATTTACCAAAAGATCAGCGAGCAGTTGGTTGCAAGTGGGTATACAGCCTGAAACGTGACTCTGATGGAAAAGTCGAACGTTTCAAGGCACGACTCGTTGCTAAAGGGTGCTCCCAGAAGTATGGCGTGAACTATGTAGAGACGTTCTCACCCGTTTGCAGATTGGAAACCGTGCGGTTTATTTTGGCGTTAGCAGCGGAATTGAAGCTGTACCTTCACCAGATAGATGTGTGTACCGCCTATTTGAATAGCGACCTGCATGAAACTGTTTATATGAAGCAGCCACAGGGATACACAGATCCCAATAATCCAAGTAAGGCTTTATTGCTTAAAAGGGCAATATATGGATTGAAGCAGTCGGGGCGCGAGTGGAACTCCAAGCTCGATTGTGTACTACAAGGCATAGATTTTGTAGCATGTGAAAATGAACCGTGTCTTTACAAAAGGAACGGAAGAGGTGACTTATCATTAATCCTTGTTTATGTTGATGATATAATTATAGCATGCCGATCAAAAGAGGACTTGGCCAACATCAAGTCAGCCATTACAACATCGTTTGAATGTGTTGACAAGGGAGAGCTGCATTTGTTCCTTGGCATGGAAGTGCAGCGCGACGGTGAGCTTGGCGAAATTTCGCTAAGCAATTCGCAATACATCAAAGACATATTGCGTGAACATGGATGCGAGACCTGTAGACCTACAGCGACCCCACTGGATGCTGGTTTCCAAGTGATATGTACCAGCGAGCATTGTCAAAAGGTTGACATTGCATCCTACCAGTCTTCAATTGGCGAGTTAATGTGGCTGGCGCTTACAACAAGGCCAGACATATTGCATTCCGTTGCCAAGTTAGCTCAACGGAATCAAGATCCGCATGCAGAGCACCTAGTGGGTGTAAAACATGTGCTTCGATACCTGGCGTCAACTGTGGACCTGAAGTTGCACTACAAAGAGTGTGGACAACCCCTTACCGGCTATGTGGATGCAGACTGGGGTGGCGACCGCATCGATCGCAAGTCGTATACTGGCTATGTATACTACTTGGCTGGAGGACCCATATCCTGGCGATCTGAAAAGCAACGCAGCGTGGCACTTAGCAGCACGGAGGCGGAGTATATGGCTCTTTCAACTGCGTGTAAGGAGGCCATATACCTACGGCGTCTTATAGTGGAGATTGGCTGCGGTGACTCGAGTACTCCAACTATTCTTCATGGCGATAATTTAAGTGCTCAACAATTAGCTAAGAATCCTGTACACCATGAAAGAACAAAGCATATTGATATTAGATATCATTTTGCAAGACAGGTTGTAAACGAAGAACAAATTGTTTTACAGTATACATCAACCAATGAAATGATAGCTGATATTTTAACGAAAAATCTCCCTAAAGCGAAGCATGTTCATTTTACAAAGCTGTTAAATTTGATTTGAAAATTTTTGTAAAACATGTTTGCATTGAGGAAGGGTGTTGAAAATCAATACAAACATAAGTACCAATGCACGCATGTTAATATAAGCAGATAATAATCTTATGTTATCTACAAGTTATCTGTCACTGTTGCATACGAATGTAAGCATAAAGAATATGTATAGCAAAAGTGTCAGTCTCCAATAAAACTCTAAAGCGAACAGACGCACGGCGGTCCGCGACTATTGTCTTTTACTTTACTCCTACTGAGCCCTTCCCTTTTCAGCGAATATATAATCTATTCAATAGAAAATACGTGTTTTTTTTTATTTTTTGGAATTTGTTTTATTTCTTTGATTATCACCCCTCCCCACCCACTTCACCCTATGTGGGTTTTTTCGATGTTCCATTCGTATAATCGCCGATATCTCGGAGACTATAAGAGCTAGAGACACCAAATTGTGCACGCTATACGAGTTTGCTTTTTTCGGGTGTCCCGACTTTGAAATACTCTGTTCATATCGTCTTGTCATGCTCATCAAGAATATATGTATATACTTTGTGGGGTCTGCCACGCCTCCTTCTGCCTGTTACATATTTCAGCTCCCGCAAACCCTAATATACTCTTGTACTTTTCATGAAGAGAGTATAAAGATTGTGTCGAAAGATGTTCTACTATGCGACTGTCCATGATAGGGCATTTCACTGTATAGTTATATTTATTTACATGCAATTACTACAATACACACGGAAAATAATATACTATAAAAAAATAAACTGGTTTACAATGTATAATGCATAACCATACCATAACCACATCGAGTGCAATGAATTTCTTATTGTTATTATTTGCATAGTTTATACAAGTACTACGCGTGCAAAGAAAAACCCGGTTTTTCAAATTTACAAGTATCTCTTGTTAACTTCATCCGACTTGCAATCACACATTTCATTTAAACGTTGATAAGCAATAGACAGTGTACATGATGTTGTTGCGATTCGCATTCGATCTATGAACCTGAGCAATTCCCCAAGTCGATAGGAATTGCCCAGCAATCGGGGCGACTATAAAAGAGCTCACAATTTACAATTGCAATCAGTATCAAAGTCAAAAGCTTAAACGTACAAAGTCAACATGAAATTCTTCCAAGTTTGCGGAATCCTCCTGGCCATGCTTGCTGCCCTGGCCAGTGCTGAGCCTATCCCTGAACGTAAGTGTAGCAAAACAATCCTTGCTTTGATTTCAATATTAATTAATTGGATTTTTATATTGCATTTTAGCTGGCACTGTTCTGATCCAGACGGACAACACGCAATACATCCGCACCGGCTAACTTCTTTAACTGCCATATTTTAAACCTACTGAAGAAATAAAACGACTTAAAAACTACTATTTCATTTCTATTTATTGTTTACTAAGGGGTATTAGTGTTTATTCAATTCGTCTTTTAAATGCGCTTAATCAGTTATACAAGTAAGCGGTTTGTTTCACGTGCGCATTTAAATGGGTCTTAGTAAATTGTTGATTCCGATTGAATAGGCAATATGTGGAAAATACCGGTTTATAAATTCACAAAATCGAGCACAAAGAACAACGACAATATGCATTGGGGGAATGCCCAGCGATTGTCTAGCCAGTTGAACGTTTTGTAAGGCAAATTGCCAAGCCATGAAATTGAAATAGTTTGCGCGCCTTTTAATTACACAAAATGTAAGCGCCTGCAGCGCAAATGCTGAAATGTTTAGCAAAGTGGCAGTTTTGCACTTGTTGGCCAAGCCGAGGAGCACCATGAAAATGACGTACTATACCATGAGGGGACTAGGGTGGAGTCTGCCTGCCGGTTGCCGCAACTGTGGCCACTCAAACAAACAAGTAGGCTACTACCGAGCTACGCTTATAATATGTATATACATACTTGTACATATATATGAATATTATATGCTGTATACATACATATATATGGCAAAACTTTAAACAATTTTCCAAGCGCCCAACTATTCCGTCGTCCTGGTCTATTGTTCCCATCTGCAGTCTGGCGAGGCTCTACCACGCCCAGAACGCCCCCTGGCCGTCGTTGTATGCTTCGTTACATCAACAATTATTTTAAACTTTTGCCGCAAATATTTCCTTCGTTGGTTTTACGCCTCAAATAAATTGTAATAGAAGTTGGATGGTTAACAGAATAACCGGCGGCCACAATGTGGCAGCATCGACATCAGAACGTCTGCTTCGGTAGTCGGAGGAGCAGCCCACCGGCCGCCAAAGGCATCGAGCGCACTTTTGTTGTCTTAAACGTCGAACGTAATCCTTTATCCTTTTGATTTTCAACGAAGAAATTCCAGCCAACAACTAGCTATGTGCGCCATATCCTCTGGCCACATTTCGTAGCACAACTGTATCCGCGTTACTCGTTCCTCCATTGTGTTGGACTGCACCTCTCCAATGGCCTGGTGCTAACAATTGTAGGGTCTCGCATATTTCATTCGAATCGATGTTGGCACACGCAATTCCGCCTTGTTTTTGTTACCGTGCACACAGCTGGGTCCGCACTGAGAGACCGAGATTTTCGAATCTAAGGTATTAATGCTATTTAATACGCTACACTCCTGCCACGGGCATCGTTTAGAATAAACCACAGTATTAAGAGTTGATCTCTCGAAGCATGGCATACACTCTCTCATCAACTGCGGTCGCATTTCGTTTATTTTGCATCTGTGTTTTAGATTAAAATAATCATCAATTGTATCACAATTTATTGTTAGAGGGTATCTCAAATTTGAGTGCCATTAACCAATTAGTTCTCCCTCCGTTTTGTGCTTGTTTGACAGCAGCCTCTGGTCGCCATCTAATATTCCCCAGTAAATGCAATATCAAAGGGTATTGACAGCATACGCAAAAATTATTTTAAAATTGCTCATTTTTGAACACAGCAAGAGGAAACTTCATTTGCTGCTCATGATGTATATTTTGTGGTCCGTAATCGTGAACGCGGCGCTTCAAAATCATACAATTTGTGGCCTTTGGCGCTTATTGAAAATTAATTTTAATACAAGTAGAATGGTGGATTTCATAGAAGTTTTCAGGATATGAGAAGCGGACCAACGAAATGAACAACTTCGTTGGCGCATCAAAGGCGTTTTTCTTTTCTCCCACCATGCTAGAGGAAAGTGAGGATAAAATAAAAAAATGTAAATTTTTGCCTTTCTTTCGATGCTCGCTTTGACTATGTGCCTCACTGCACTCGCAGACGGTTATTCAAATCACATTGCAGGCAGTCAGCAATTGAATCGAGACTAAAAATGTGCAATATTGGTACTAGAAGCAGCCTCCAATGCGTACTCTTTAACCTTCAATGCAGCTGCACAACTTTCAGCAAAATCAGAACAAATGGAGGGTTTGCATTTTTAAAGCAGTTGCAATTGTTAGCCGATACCCTGATCCATCAGTGCCGCTGGCCATATATGTACGAGTATAAGCAAGATAGAAATTAAACCAATTGTGTTTGTTTATATTTAAAGATTTGAATATATTTTGAATATACTGTGAGGGGGTTAATTAAATATTAAAAATTATATTCAGCAAAAACGTTGAGAGTAATTAGCACTAATACTGCCATAATCGAAAGCGTGTGCGATATAAAAGATTCGGTAACCCCAGTTCAGTTTAGATGCGTATATAATTTTCGAAATTGAAGAACTTATCAACCGAATGCAATTGGGCATTTACTTAGCACCTCGGCCTTTGCTGTTCTGCTGATAAGACTCTCTGGCGTTCATCGGGGTATAGCCCGACTTTGTTGCTGCTTCTCTCCTATAAAAGCACTGCTCGTGCTTGACTTCGCACACAGTGCTAATAGCAACACACAACCGTACAGTGCCATTCAAGGGATTATAGCGAAATGAAATTCTTCCAGATCTGTGGTCTTGCTCTGGCCTTTATTTTGGCCTTCGCCAATGCAGCGGCGGAACGTAAGCAAACATACAAATAACTAAAATAAAAATTTTGTTTTGATAACAATTTTGTTTTATTTGCAGCTCAAGGCACCATTTTAATACAGACCGACAATTCACAAACCATCTTAACGGGAAAGTGAGGCAGTTACCGAACTATCTTTGGACTATTACGTAATAATAAACATAATAACATAAATGACTCAGCATTGTTTTAACAATTCTTAGTTCTGATATTGTACGCATCTGTTGCCCAGTGGCTGTGTCTTGCGGGCATTCCCGGCAATGCGGCTGCCATCGTGGGTGCAGAGTTCGCCAAAGCGACGCAGCTGGGTCAAGCTCATTCCAAAGGTGCGCGAGTATATTAGCCATTTGGTGGGCAGGACGGTGCCTCCATTATCGTAGGTGCCGTGATATGTGTAGTAGCCGCTGTCAAAGGGTCGCACCAGCGAACCGAGATCAAAGGGGGGCAGCTCAATACACGAGCCGGGCACCACAATGGCTTCTAAGTTATCCACAACCTGGCCAAGAATTTTATTATGCTCCAGAATGGAAAATAGATACGATATGGTCAGGAATTTACAGTTGGCATTCGCAAGATTGGTTCGATGTAGAACCTGCATCTCCAGTGCAAATTTGAGAGAGTCTATCGAGTGCTCCGATTCCAGCATACCCCATTTGAAAGTGGCCTCCTCAAAGTAATAATTTTCAGACGGTTCGATGCCACTCAGATGAGGCGTTAATTCTGGAGCACAAGCAATCCGCATAATGACAGTGCTTCCATTATTCTCGAGCAGCACAGCCTGGGGAAGCTCGTAATAGTTGTGCCAAAAGAGTGGGCATGGCTGCCTGCGCTGATGAACTAAGCTTCGCACAATGTTAATGGGCGATGGTTGCCTCTCCAACTGTCTTTTGCTGATATGACAATTAATGCTTGACAGGGACTCGATCAGACCATTGCAAATGGTGCATCCTGCCTGTATATTAAGGATGAATATCAAAGCCATGGTGCAGCTAACTAGAACCATCAATAACTTCGATTCAGCGGCATAGCTCATAATCAATGCGATCGGGGTCGTAAGAATGCTCCACAAGAGGGCCAACATCGCTTGCGAACTGTATATAAGACACGTACATATTAAGTTAGTTGGAAATTTTAAGAAAATGCATTATCCATTCCCAATTTGGGAACAAAATTACACAAGGTTTCTAAACAATATAAGAGTTATTACTCGTGTGCCTGGGGGATAAGGAGAATCTACATAAAACGTTTGGTGAAGAGGCTCAGAAGTTTCCAAAATCCAGGCGTTTAGTGGTGGAGATTAAGATGCTGATTAAGAAGGAGGTGCGGCATGCTGTCTATTATATACTTTTCACAAAGCTAATATACCCTTTTTCCATTTGGAAACTGGGTATAAAAATATACAAATAACGCTGACTGATTTATTTAAACTCTTCTTAATTTTAATTACTTAACTTTTGTTAAGTGGTTAATTGCTTTAAAAGCGTTTCAATTCATCCAATTATGATGAAATGTCGAAAACCATAAGTCGAATTCAGATGTTGTACTGCTGGACGAGGAAACTTTTGACGATTCAACATTCACAGCCAGCATAGAAGGTGCGTACATATTGATCCGACCTGAATCAACATTTCCGTGCTCTGATACGTGTGCGTTTTTTGAATGCACAATTGTGGTAGAGACATTGCAGCACCGATGAGATTGTTGTTACAGATGCCACTCACTTGGCAGTAACAAAGCTTCCTTCGCTATTGGCATTCGAAGAAACCCTTTCATGTGCACTTCATCATAGAAATAGTGCCGGCAAAGGAGATGGCAAAAGTGAATGGTAGGCGCCGTGTTTGATTTGTGATGGACTTTGTGTCTGTGCGTTTATCTGACTGAAGAGGAAGCCAAAAATATCAAATCAATGAATGCAATGTGCGTGCGATTGCATACGAGTTGATGTTCAGGCTCGGCTCTGAAACTCTTAATTCAAACTGGGCAATTTATTTGGTAATACTAACAACGAGTAACTGCAGACGGAGGGGCAAAAAGGTTATGGCCATTGCTACTTTCATTGTTTGCTGCTTAGTTGGTTGCATGAAAGCGCTGAGCCATAAAATACAAGATAGGCACGTAAATGGACGAAACGGGCACAAGTTTATAGTGCGCCATACACATACAGACATACACACACACGAGTACACAGGGCTTAAACGAACTTTAATACTTGGGCGATAGGACAGGCTATAGATTTGGGGAATAAGGGCTGTAGGTGAGCCTCTCTCTGTGCCATCCCATATTCTTGCCCATCCAGGCAGTGAGGCAGGCAGTGCCGAACTTTTCGACGCGTACTTCATAAAATAGTCATAATGCATGTTTTTTTTGTGAATTATGGAGTACATAACCAAAGTTGCTGCTCCTCAGGTCATGCACACAAGGCCATACATATATTTACACACACACACCTACACCGTGTGTAAATATGTATCGGCCTTTACGCTTTCTGTTGCATATTTCGGCATAAGCTAAAATGTAAATATTTTGCCATGTAATTATAGTTGTAACACCAGGAGCCATGGGCGCTGCCTTTATAAATACACACACAAATTACGTATTTCCATGTGTGTGTAGTTTTAAATTTATTAGTAAGCCCATTAAAAGTTGTGCAAAGCCGGCTGCGAATATGCGACAAGGTGCTTATGCATGCTCCGAAACCAACATGAAATTGCAATGGGATTTGTGGCCCAACTGCTTATGAAAATAATCAACATTACTTGTATATAAAATGCCACATTCTTTAGTGGTTCATTATGAGCAGGAAAGGTCACTCATTGCATCTGCTGACAGCCATAGTTTCGACAAGGCTTGAGTGGGCGGTAGCCACAATAAATCAAAAACAAAGAGATTGTTAAAGTCTTGAGGTATCTGGAATTGACAGCTTCGTGCGCTTTGGTGGTAGCAGATATACAAGTACGAGTAGCGATAACAGGTGGTTACTGTGGACGTGTAACTGTTACTACTGCTGTCCCTGACTGCTACTGTTCTGATGTAGCGGTTACTGTGCAGTAATTAACTTGAAACCAAAGCCCGCCACATTCGGATTAAATGAATTTGTAAACTTGTTGTGCGTAAGTAGGGGTTAAAGGCAAGTGAGAAAGTGGAGTGCTTGCAAATTATTACCTGCCTGCATGGGCTTATTTATGGTAGCCAAAGTAAGAAACAGTAGCCGAATGAGGCAGTACCTTGTTTTTTGTTACCTCCAACTGGTGACTGTTTCGCAAGTGACGATAACTTTTGACTTGCAACGCACAAATATTGTGAGTAAGCATGTTTAATGAGCGTATTTCTTAAAATGTTGACATAAGCATGGCATAGTATTCAATTTATTGCAATTCTTATTGCTGTCTGCTGTCTGCTGACTGTAACTGAATCTGGCCCTGGTCAAAGTTGTGAACATTATTTTGAACTTGCAACAAAGTTGCAGTTTTTAGAGGTAAATAATGTTTGTATTTAACAGAAAAACTTTTGTCTGCAGCAAGCTAAAATGTTGTAATGAGTAAACGTTAAAATTGCAAATGATATGCTTTATACTCACCGTTGGGGCTTCTCCTAGCAAAATTCTCTATTCAAATATTTGATTTTCTTCTGTGGGTCTGCTGCAGCTTCTTATCGCCAGACGCTAAACAATACTGGGAATCTAACAAATTGTATTTAAAAAACTTCAGAGCTCTTTAATATTACTTAAAATCATTCTCCTGGCTTACTTAAAAAGAAGCTAGGGAAAACATTCACATCATAAAAGATTTAATTAGTTTATTTCCATATTATTTACTTATGTATTGCTATCCACAATTCTGATGTACATACTGTTCAATTCTTTTTTTTTTTTAATTTTGATAAAACTTTAATTTTACTGTTATTATTTACAACAACTTAAATTAAACTTATAGAAATATACAAATACAGCTTAAACTAGGAGTTTAGTCTTATTTAATTATTTATTTCATTTAATTATTAATTATTTATAGTTATATTAAATAAATCTATTGGAAAGATCAGCAGGGTGTGACCTCTTGAGCCTCCTTCTTACTACTCTTCTTCCTTTTCGTCGCCGTTTCAGCAGGCGCCTTGCTAATACGTTATCATGGGTTCGCAGACGCTCCATGTATTGCGCAGCCTGCTTATTTAGCACGTCTCCAACTTTTTGCACCCCTAGATCCCTTTCCATGTGTGCCGTTTTCATGTGCCAGGGGGCACCTGTTAGGAGGCGAAGGGTTTTCGCTTGCAGGACCCGGATTTTCTGCAGGTGTGACTTTGCGGCGATTCCATATACTTGTAAGCCATATCGCCAAGAGATAAAAATGCAGGACTTATAAACAGTCACTTTGTTTCTCAGTGACAGTTTTTAACTGTTCAATTCGGCGAAACTCTGGGAATATTTTCTAATGATAAAATTGTTGCATACCCTTAGGCTAATTTATTGCGTATTTGAATTTTGCAAGAGTTTGGACAAAAAGAGCTTTGTGAATAACACAATCTAAACTACAGTTGCCTTTCATCAGCTGCAATCACAAATTGGGGAAGCAAAACTTATTTGGCCATATTGCAGACATCTGTTCGGTTGCACGATTTGCAGCGAGGATGGGCAAGAACGATAACTCTGTTGACAGCCACTCAAAATGGCGTCTCTGAAATGGTTACAAATTGCTTGTTTACCCGGAATTATGCAAATTCTTGTGAAAATTGTTGTACACCAGCAATAGCACGAAAAGATATGACTCTTCAAAATGAAATGAGTAACATTTGCCAAAAGCTGCTCGGTAGCATCAGGGCCAACAATTGCTTTGAAGTCGGCTCGATGTTGTGTTTGTGTGATGCGGATTTATGCTGTTTGTCTAGCAATATCTGTAGTTTTGTGTGTGTGTGTGTGTGACTGCCGGCGATGGTTCTTGAATTTGAAATTTTGGACTGCAGGCTGTTTGCGTCAAGGAAATTGAAAAGAAATTATTATTACTACTTATATTTGCATTCGAGTGGGCAAGTGGCCGTGCCCATAGCTGTTGAGTGTGAGGTTGGGCAGTAGCCTCGGGCTTGGGTCCAGTTGCTGCAGTTGCTGCTCAACTTTTCAATTTGCCCAAAAGTCACTGCAGTAAGTATTTGTTGTTGTTGAAGTTGAGATAAGTGCGCAGAAATGTATGCAGGACGTGCAACAAGACCGAGCAGTAGTAGAAATTTTATGCTAAAATTTATTTCTTGCCGAGTTGATAACTTGCTCTAGCTCTGGCCGTTCTGGCCGTGCACTGGGCGTTCATCGTCAAGTTCATCTTTAGTTGCAGCTTAGCTTCAGCTTCAGCTTCTGCTCGGCTTGTTATTAAAAAACTTTGTGAGCGTGCGTTTGTTTGTTGTTGTCTGTATTAACTTTTTTCGTCGTGTAACTTACAAAATTAAAAGGATTAGCAAAAGCATATCATATCTGGATGTCTGGTAGAGAACACTTTAGTAACTACACAAATAGAAAAGTAAATTTTGCCTGGGAAATTTGTTTTCACTGCAAGCAACGTAAACTTTATGATTGAAACTTTTGATGAATTGCAACGGCAGTTGATGTTCCATCTTGTCATTTGACACGTGTTGCCAGAATAGAAGGTACTTTTAGATATTGTCCTCAGTGATTTAGCACGTTTCAAACTTATATTAACGGGCACTCCACCCTGCGAAACGAAAGCTGGAAAAGCAGCAACTAGTTTACAATTCCTTAAGCTCCTGAAAGAGGAAATGTCAAAAATACTTAAGTCAGTTACACAAAAGACATAAGTATGGGAAAGTAGGTGCAGCTTATGTCTGCTACTGATTGGCTGGCTCACTTACAAACGACAACTGAAAAGAAACTGCATTTGCATGATGGCAAATGAAATCTAATTCAATTTCTAATAATGCCGCCTCTGGCTCAAACTTTCTCTGCAGCTATGCTTTTTGCAAAACTTTTCACGTTGACTTTTTTGTTGTTGTTTTTTTTTTTTTTGTTTGTTTGTTGGAAAAGTCAAAATTGAAAAGAAAAACTTGAATGTTTTTTTCCCAAGCATTGGATAGTGCATTTGTATACAATACATCCGAACTTTTCAAAGTTATCCCCGCTGCTCATATGTGTGTGTGGACAATGTGTGAGTGTTTGCCACATGAAGCTGTCAACACTTCACTTTGTCCGGCTGCACTTTGTTCTCCTTCCTCTCGACAGGAACGACATCTGAGCAATATCGTTCATCGGCACTCGACTGTTGTTTTTCTTTATCTCGCAATGGAAACTTTTGCAGGAACTTCAAAGTTTTGTTGACGACACAAAAACTATTAAAAGTGTATCGACTCATTTGTGCCAGGGTCCGTCGCATTTGTGCCAAGGTTGTTCAAATTACTCAAATGAATTAAGTGCGTAGTAAAGTCGATGGGTCTTAAAATAGCTTCAGTTAAAAATGCAGGGTAATACAGCGCTCATGGCCATTAGTGCCACTTTATAATGTACGTTCTTTCTTAATAACTCAACAGCAAACTGCTGAGCAAATCAAGAAAAAAGATAGAAATATGCAAAACTGAGGTAAAGCGCACAAAGTGAAGAATTTTACAATGAGAGCATTCGATGCCAGACAAAACTAAACTAGCGGTGGGCGCATAACGATGGCGATGCTTCGTCCCCTCGGGTTGCCAAGGAGCTTAGTGCTATGTCAACGTGCGCAAAGTGTCCAAAGTACGTGACTGACATTAAGTGCTGAGCATCCAGACTCTGCTGTTGGTATTGAAGCCATATTGTTGTTCTTGTTATTATTGCAATGTTAAATGCCGATTTTTTCTTTAATCTTCAGCTGGTATTTTGAACGATTTGGCAAAAAATCATACTCAATTGTCCAGTGAAGCGAATTGAAAAACCCGTAAAGCTATTGCTGATTTGCAATCAAAACGATTAATCTGTCATTGCTTTCGGAACTCCAGCTGTAATAGCAGAGGTAACACAACTTTAAACAAATTCAATTGTGTTTCCAGCAAAATGTAAAATGGCTGAGAACATTTTTTTTGTACTATACAAGTATGTTCAATAATTCTTTTGTGACTAAGTTGTATTATTGTAAGTGCATTTTACATTTGCAAAGTACCAGCAAAACAGGGAATAGCAAAACTGGCTAAATGGCCAATGACAAAATGACTGAACTCTAAACGGCAGCAACTCAACTCGGAGGTGACCACTGGAGACTAGCTTTGATTGCTATTAATGGGGTTGTAGGACATGGATATTGGATCCAGGCGACTTGTGAACTCTAGAGCTCTGTTTTTGCTGATGAACGTACGTTCCAGCATTCGCCTATAGCTCGGGCACAGCAGACACTGAATTTCAATTAGAGGAACTGATGGCGCAAGTGCAGCCAGCCGAAGCAACAGGCAATGAGCTGAATGCATACACGTATGCCCTCCATGGTGCTCTGTGGCAACATGCCACGCACGTGTGTCACATGTAAAAACAAAGCCGCAAGCGGCTGCCGAACGAAAATTGAAGTCTGCACCCGCATCCGAGGACACACCATACTTGCGCTTTAGTCAAGTCCGATGACGCCTAACCAGGTGTGGTGGCCAGTTCGTCGACGCTATGTCGCAGCCAAATGAAAAAAAGTCAAATGCAAATGCAAATACAAACGTGTGCCGTTGGTAGAGACGCGTGGCCCATGACCTGCGGTCTGCGGGCGTTGACGAAGGCAGCGCCTCACAGCGTCTCTCACACCCGCAGTGTCGCGTATTACTTGCTACCTGTTGCCCTGCTGTTTGTGTTGTTGGTGTTTTTTTTAAAGTTGTTTTGGTACGTGCGTGTCACTGTCACGCACGTGTTGATTTGCCAGCAAATTGTATAACTAAGCCGGCTGCGACTGTAATCCTTTCCACACCTGCGTTCGCTGCTTTTTCACACACATCTGCACATACATATACATACTTGTATAGCACATGCAAGCATACGCATGTGTATATCTAAGTATGTATGTATGTATGTATGTGTGGGTGAAGATTCAATGAACCAAAATATGCTTACCTTTTGTGACCAAAACATATTCCGCATAGCTGGAGCATATTTGAGTTAAAGCTGCAGAAAATGGAACAGAGTTGTTAGAATTCACATCAATGAATCCATTTTTAGCTCTGAACCACCATTTATAATTCTACTGGAATCAGCAAAATGTAAAGGGCAATTTTGAATTGCATTAAAAACGTACTTCCCCCTTTTGGTGATAGAGCCGCATCGCAGTCATATTTTCATTACTTAGTTTCTCCAGTATGCTTAAAATATTCCATTATGAAATCCGCAAGTAATAAAAAGTGAAAGGAAATCAATAAAATGGTATATCATATTTGACTAATCATATTTAACTTTTAACTAAGGAATTGTAAAAAAAAGAGTAATTCAACCTAGTCTTAACTTTCAAAGCAAACAGATAGCATATTTAAAACTAAATTAAAGCGCCCTTAAAAACGCAAAAGGGCGTGTTTAATTTAGGACCTTTATAGAACTGCTATAGAAATGTATTTATTTATTTATTTACAAGCAAATAATTATTAAATAAATATTAAATTATTTTGGGAAATCGATTTATCTTAAATATTCAATAATTAGGATTAAAACAAACCCAAATGTGTATTTACTTATAAACAAGTACATTAGTACATATATAAAATA